CCACAATACAGTACAGTACACCGCAGAGAAATACCATGACTCAAAGAGTCCCTGAGCGGTCCTCTTCTCCATTAACCGCACCCGTCTACCCCCCCCCCTCTAAGGATGAAGCACCATAACAGCAGCCGTCCTCTTGGACTATCATAAAGTAAACACAAGCGCAGAGGCCCCCCTTCATCCACAACTAACCCCACTTTAACAGGTGTGTTTCATCAGGAAGATGACCGCTTCTGGCTTCTTTGAGTCATGGTATTTCTCTGCGGTGTACTGTACTGTATTGTGGCACATTGACTGCAGTAAACGTCAGCTGTTTGTGAATGTTCATGACTTGCGTTTCAGGTGAAGGGGAAAGAGGTGAAGGAGGGAAAGGAGAAGACGGGAGCCGCTAATGGACACCAGTTTGTCCCAGCGACTCCATCCGGTCCCGCTCTCTGTGTGGCCTGCGACAAGCCTGTTTCTGGAAAGGAGCTGCTGCAGTGCTCCAGTAAGCATCTTACTGTCAGCGCTGTAGTTGTGTTTATGTCCCGCGGCGGCTGAACTGTTTTAGGGTTTGTTTAAAAGCTCTTCGCACGTGCCGCCTTGCTGTTTTTCTTCACTCGGCAGCCATCTGGACTCTGATTCCAGAAACGTTGTCATTTGGTTTGTTACCAATCATCTGATGAAATTAACTGGGATTTCATTTGTTTTTTTCCGTAGACTGTTTCCTCAATGTCCACAAGAACTGTCGAGAGTGTGTTGCAGCCTGCGGCAAGGTAACACCAAGCACTTCATTTCATCTCAACACCAACAAGCACAAGTTATGAATTAATTCAAATAATAGTTTAAAGGGAAAAATTCAACCTGTCAAAAAACAACACAAACAGTGTAGTGTCCTTTTTAAGATATTATTATTTGCAAGAATGTCAAGAGTCATGCTTGAGCTTCTCTCAAATGTCGCATGGTTTCACGAGTCAAACGAGGAAGAAAGTCTTGTTCCACCATTAAAGGGCCACTCCACCAACTCTACACATATAGGTCAGTTTATCTGTCACAGTGAGCGTTACTCTACCTGTGAAAACAGGCGAATAATATCTTCTGTGGCTGGGGAGGAGAAAATATCTGGTTATCTCAGCTTGAGCTTGGAGACGATACATTTGTAACAAAAAGATGCAATAGATGGCATTATGGGAAAACGTAGGTTCGTTATTGGTGCTTGATCTATACTAAGGACTACTAGTCAGAATATCTTGGCCACTGCTGCTTCAGCTTCAAATGTTCTTTCTAAATGATTGTCTCTCGCGAATCTTCCAAATCTTCGGAAGTGTAATATCACTGGAGAACCCGCTTTAATCGATCAAAATGCAGTTACATGACGTGTATTTTGAAATAAAGGTGCCCTGGAACAAATGGGTTGAGTGCATTCCCTTCCTCCTAAAACATTTGCCAAGCCAACTCTGAAGATATTTAAAATCATACATTAGTAGAAGGGAGAAGCATGGGCCAAGGAAGAACCTATTCGATTTTGGCACAGATCCGAATCACACGCCAGATATACGCTTTTCTTTTTCACTAATTGAAACGGCCTTGGCGGAGGTCTGCGCTCTCCAACTGCCCCTTTGGTTTACATCCATGTTTACCAGCTTGCAGTGTTCTTTTTAACTTCCTTTTGTTGGCGCAGTTGGACTTCTTTTTTGGCGCAATGAACAGCAGAACAGCGTCGAACCAACAACTTGCGACCGATTGTAAGCGTCCTTTACCACCAGTGGTGAAAAGCTCCACAAGTCGCCTTTAAGTACACAATTAACACTCCGTGGTCTGAAAATCTGTCTCTCTCGCGTTGTCACTCTGCTACAGTTATTGTTATTCAAACTCTGAATCAAAAAAGTTCACATATGGTCTCAAAATCGCTGGAAATTAGAAATCTCCATGTCCAGCGGTGTGAGGCGCGTGCCGTGCAGCGTTAGCGGCGACATCCCCGGTTCAAATCCAGCTTTTTATTATTGCAGCTCATTCCCTCCGCCTCTGCCTGTGTTTCCTGCCACACTCGCCTGTGCCGTCTCATAAAGGCGAAATGCCAAAAACAAGATATAAATCAGCGACAGGCTGAAAAGGAAGCGGGTACAACAGGAAGACTCAAATTCCAACACTTGGTGACAAAGGAACTCCCGGAATGTGTTCGAACATGTCAAACCGACGACGTATAGCAAAATGTGCCTTCGATGTTTTTGTTTGGACATAAATTGACTCCGGTGTTGACTGAAGTTGTCTCTCTGCAACTACAACAGCTTCACATTCAAAGCACCAAACGCTGAGAGTTACAGCTGCTGATGTGATTATGTGTCTCCTCAGAAGCTGCAGGAGAGGAATGTGTTGCTGCTGAAAAGCAAGAGCTCGTCTCTCCCACACAGTGAGTCAAATATTACCCCCCCTCCCCCTTCTCTCCTGTAATGTGTCCTCCCTTGGTCCTTGATTAAGTTTTTACCTGTCCTCCCTGGTGTCCCCTGTTGTCGATTAGGAATCCCATTGCCCCCCCCCCCCCACTACTTGTTTGCCTTTCCGTGGTAAAAAAAAGTTACATTTTAATCCGTCTCAGTGGGGGATCTGCCTGGATTGTCCTTGTGTGGGTACACAAGGAATTCCTTGACATGAAGCTCTGTGTCTTCACCGTCCGAGTGTTTGATGTCCGACAAAGATGTCAAGTGTCGAACCCAAGCAGCGTCCATTACGACAGCATCTTGTCACAACTGGCAGGCCGCGTGCCCAGTTAAACAATGGCATCTTGTCACAACTGGCAGGCCGCGTGCCCAGTTAAACAATGAGAGAGGCCTGCGGACGTCCTCACAGCTTTTATTATTGGGTTACTGCCACACTCGGGGACGACATGGACGTAAAGAAAGCACGATGGCATTTGAAGTATTTATTTGTGGAAGGGGAAAGTGTGACTAATTCCTCTTCCTTGCTCTTTTTTTCCTGGTCTGTCCTCCAGACTCTGTGAAAGACAACTCTCCGGCCACCGTTTTCTCCTCCTCGTCTTCACTGCCCACAACGACCAGGGAGAAGAGAGAAACAGTCACCCCTCTCTCCAAAAGCTTCTCCATCTCTATAGACAGCAGGTAGGATGGCAGTGTTACCATTGTGTATCAGTACGTCCATCTTAAGGTGGTTCTAACCCACCAAAACTGATTTAAGTCATCTGGATTACAGTATGTTGGGATATCTAATTCCAAGGAAAACACTTGAAACGATGTGATCTTGAATATCAAACTGGAATCAGTTTTGAAATGCTGACGTAAATAAAACCATAGTTCACAATCATGCACACCCATACAAACATACTCTTTGTCCTAAAAAAAAACAAAAGAACATTGTAACTCACTAATTTTGTGTCTGTGCAGACGGCTGAGCGATGCAGCGGGGGTGGACAGTGAGTGTGGGGTGACAGCTTGCACCTTGGCTGATGAGGGAACACCGGTCACTGCGACTCCCCCATCCGCCGAGCCGCTGATCGCCACGCAGGGTGAGAAAGACGAGCTTATCACGTGATTGGTCCCACCTAGACAAATTTAACATTGAGAATTACTGTAGAGTGGATTTAATAATAATAATGATAATGTAGTGGCCATTTGTCAGAAAAATCTAAACCAAACATAAATCAAAGCGCCACTGACACGCAGGCAAAAGAGTTCATTGTCCATCCAGGATTCTGTGTTTCTCATGATGTATTTAACAAAACAAAGAAACAACTGTCGCTGTCTCTCCTGCCTATGGTTAAAAAAACCATAGGCCCACCCCGGTGCATGCTGGTCCTGTACTACTCGTATATATATAACCGCAGGTGTCCACAGTGTTACCCAATTCATAAACAAGCAAAAAACGAAGTGTGCTAAACAACGAAAAATGTAACATCTAGAATAATTAAACAATACTACTTATGGATAAAATAACTAAATACTTACATCAAATACATGGCTCCTACAGATAATATCATTATCATCATCATTAATGATGATAGTAATAATAAAGCTGTATTGCACCTTCCTAAAAATAATGTCCAAAAATGCTTTACATACAATGAAACAAAAGGCAGCAACAATATGAAATAGAAATAAACACACACCAACAAATAAAGGTTAAAAAAAAAGAGTTAAGAACAGATCAAAACTTTGCCAAAACTGAAACATGCATAGGGAGTGATTCACATAAAAGCCTTTTTATAAAAGTGTGTTTTTTGAAGGGATTTGAAAGATGAAACTGTTTTGGCTAGCTTAATTTCCTCAGGCAGTTAGTTCCAAACTACAGGCGCCCTAAAGGAGGAAACGCAGTCCCTATTAGTCTTGAGCCTGTTGCCCGTAAGAACAGCCATAAGAGCCTCACATGAAGATCTAAATCTACGTCGTAAAGAGTCCATCAGTATAGGAGGGGGCCCGGCCTCTCTGTGCTTTAAGCACAATCGGTAAAGTCTTGCTGTCAGCCAGTGCAGGTATGCAAAGTCTGGGGTCTCTACGTTTAGTGCCAGATACAAGCTTAGCTGCATCATTTTGAACAGGCTGGAGACGAGAGATCCATTTTTTTGACCGAGGCAGGTAGAGAGAAGAAAGACATGGTTCATCGTTTCCTGTCCCACACAGATGCCGTCGACGCTCCTCTCATGAGCGGCCTGTCCGCTGAGCTGCTGGGACTCGAGGTGGAGTCGTGGAGTCTGGCAGTCAGCCCGGAGTTCTGCAGGCAACACGACAGGCACACCATTAAACGGCAGGAAGTCATTTACGGTGGGACAATTCTCCTGAATATTGGGTATATATGGGTGGAGCCAAAGACTCAAGTGACTTGACTGATCTATATATAATATCGATTTTTTTTTTTGAAGGAACTGAAGCAGTTATGAAGCCACTTGCTGTTCCACTTAGATTCAGACAGACATTGGTTTGCCTTTAGGGATCCCTTAATCCCCTCTCATTGCCCCCCCCCCCACATAGAGCTGATGCAGACAGAGCTGCACCACATTCAAACCCTGACGGTCATGTCGGGGGTGTTCCGGAGAGGCATGCTGGAGGAGCTGCAGCTCGACTGTGACTGCGTGGCCCGGATCTTCCCCTGTCTGGACCCTCTGCTGCTCTTTCACAAAAACCTCTTCGGAGCGCTGCTGGAGCGCCGACAGGCGGCGGCGCAAGCCGAGAACCCCCACAATTACCTCATCCATCAGATCGGGGATATTCTGCTCCAGCAGGTCGGTTCAGACGGTTTCATGCACATAAACTGCGCACAGACACGCGCTTCTGATCGACCTCTCACGGCCTCTCGCTCAGTTCTCAGATGAATACGCCGAGGAGATGAAGCAGGTGTACGGAGAGTTCTGCAGCCATCACACCGAGGCCGTCAACGTCTTCAAAGAGCTGCAGCAACAGAACAAAAAACTGCAAAACTTCGTCAAGGTAAAGCGCCTGCTTCCAGACCTCTTCTGCTTTTTAAATAAGCAGGTTTACAGTAAAATGTGGAGGATTGAACGGGTGCTCATTTAACCTCTCTGCTCACAGCAACAGAGCAATAACACTCTGGTGAGACGGAGAGAGGTGCCAGAGTTTATCCTGCTGGTCACTCAGCGCATCACCAAGTACCCAGTGCTGCTGGAGAGGATATTACATTACACTCAGGGTATGTCGGCTCTGCTGTGTCCCAAACGAAACTGTAAACATGTGCAACTCTTAAGCCTGTTACATATTCTGTGGAAACGGCAACACAAAGAGCAAGGCAAGGGACATCTTTTATGTTCTTGCATAGCAAAATGGTCTAAAAGTTGTAACACGATTTAACTATTTGCTGCATGTTTCAGGCCAGACTATTGCATGGAAAGTAATACGCTATATAGAGACTATATTAACTATAAAAAGAGAGATTTCCTGTGTTCAACATCGTACTTAACTAAAATATCTTTTTGCAAAGTGAGAGAATGCTTTTTTTATTTTTTGCTGGATGCTTGAGAATGATATTTACTTTCCATGACTCGTGACAATTAGCAGTTAAGGAATAAAGAAAGTCAATCTCTATAAAGTTGCTAAATAAGCAGAGAGCTGGCATGTGCTTAACACTTTTCTTTATGTACCTGTGTTGAGTGTTATAAATTAAAAAACAGTTCATTTGAATGCCACACCTCTTTCCCCTCCACAGAGGGAAGTCGGGAACACTCTGACCTGTCGAGTGCCCTGGCCCAGATCCGCGCCGTTATCGCTGCGGTGGACCTGACCGTGAATAGGTACGAGAGGTGTCAGGAGCTGCAGGAAGTGCTGGCCCGTCTGGAGAACAAGAGCTTTGCCAAGCTAAAGAACGACAAGGTGTTCCGCAAACAGGACCTGCACAGCAAGCACAGGGATCTGCAGTATAAAGGGCTGGTCTACTGGAAGACTGCCACAGGACGTCTAAAAGGTGTGCGTGACCCCCATCTGTGCCACGAGATCTTTTGAGTTTAACTGAGCACCAATCTACATGCATTTCTTGTCTCCCCCTTTTCAGATACTCTGGCTCTCCTGCTCACAGATGTTCTGGTTTTCTTACAAGAGAAAGATCAACGCTTTGTGTTTGCTGCTGTGGTAAGAACTCTTTGAAATAAAGTAAAAAACATCTTGTCCAAGCTGTCTACTCGTATCTCCCCCTCCTTTATATCTGGACCGGTTTTATCTGCTTTTTCAGGACCAGAAGCCTCCTGTAATCCCTCTGCAGAAGCTCATTGTTCGAGAAGTAGCCAACGAGGAGAGAGGGATGTTCCTCATCTCCGCCTCCTCAGTGGGACCGGAGATGTACGAAGTCCACACCAACACTAGAGACGAGAGGAACGCGTGGATGAGACACATACGGCAAGCTGTGGAGAGGTGTGTGTGTGTTAAGTTTACAGTGTTTGTGTGCGCCTGGTTTATGTGTGTAAGTTCATGTTCGCGTGTCACCTGTCATCTAACCTACTGGTCTTACCCGGCAGTTGTCCTGAGGAAGAGGAGGAGGAAGAGCGAAGTGCCGAGGCAGAGGAGGCCAGGCGAGTGGCAGAAGTGAGAGTTCAGAAGATCGCCAAGTTCCAAGGTGAGAACACTTCCCCCCCCCTTCATCAATAGAACCACAAAATGCTTCCTGAGTCCTGATCTCGGTGTTTGTTGTGTGCAGAGACGCTGTTGGGTCAGGACCAGCAAATCTGCAACAGCCTGGAGGAGAAGTTACAGCTCTACGCCGAGCTCACGGAGTTAACTCTCCGCTCGCCAGAACCCGTACTACACCGCCATCTGCTGGTACAACCGGACACGGACGGTGAGACGCCACGACAGGCCTCGGCACTGCTCACCGCTGCACTCAGAGAAGGTAAGAGCGTGGCTGTGTGGCCAACGAAGGGTTGAAGGGCTGTGTGATGCAGCAGTGTCACTTCCTGTACTGGACATATTTAACAAGCCTAATCATGGCTAATGATGTCACTGTGATTAGTGACTAACCTACATGAGAACATGAACCTCAATGCATCGTGCTGGCAGACAATTTTTTGTCAATCATCACATTCAACAGCATTTCAAAACACATTTTAAAATACCAAAAAAATATTTTGTTGGACATTCAAAATCATACGCTGTATTAATCACTTAGCACATCTAACCTTATATCATTTTATATGAGCCCTTCCTGAAAAGGAGTGTCTTAGCAACATTATCCCTAATGTGCAAACCAAATTACAAATCGCACCACGATTACCACGTAATTTGAGTTTGAGCTCTAATCCACTGAAATATGACAAAACTCCTGTGGGGGGGGCGTGCATGACTTTTAATCAACTAAGAAGCAGCTTTGCAAAGCTCAACAGCACATCATCTGTTTTAATTAAACTTACAAACTTCAATAGGACGACTCTGCACATTTGAAACATACGATATTGTAGGAAACAACATAAAAGTTCGACTTAGTAACGTTTTTTTAAACTATATGCTATACTGTAGGTTTGTGTTCTTCTCATTGTTGGTTGGCATTTGAACATCAGACTCGCAGCAACACTCTCACGAGTTTTTCTCCCTCTGCAGCGGAGAACATGATCACCATTCTGCAGAGTCGTGATGGCCTCGTTGTAAAAAGTCCGAGCTCTCCGGTCCGAGGACCAGAGTGCTGCAGCTACAACAGCCACGGGAGCAGCATTCAGGAGTCTCCCTCTGAGCGTGAGTCATTCAGACTGTCTTTTTGTGATGCTTGTCCTTCACACTACTTGATCTTCACCCGATACAGGTGAACCACATTGCCAAAAAAAAAGAAAATGTGTAGGCGGTGACATTTACTTCTCGTTGCCCCGCAGCGGATTATCTGAGCACGCTCAGCATGAGCTCCGCCTCTCCCGGATCAGACGGCGAGCTGACGGGGCCGGACGGCGTCCTGTGGAGCCCGGCTGTCGAGCTGAGAAGAGGAGACGCCAAAGGGACGCTGCTGAAGGTTCAACCGCCATACCTCCTCCACAAGCAATGATCAAATAAACCTGCATTATCGTTCACTCTGTAATATCACTGTTTTCTGCAGGTGGCAGAGAGCGTTCAGAGTCTGACTCAGCTCCTCTACAGTCTGCAGGTGAGGAAAGACACGCAGGTGCTGAATGCACGAGTGACAGGGTTAGTGACTGGAGCTTGATCAGGTGTCTCCTCTTTGTGTTGGCAGGCCGCCGTGACCGTCCAGGACAGCTGCTATGAAGTCCAGAAACTCCTCCTCCAGGAGGGAGAAAGACCTCAGCTCCGAACCCTCACGTCCCTCCAAAACAGTTTGGTATGAGTCACCTAATAGTTATGTTAAAATGAATATGTCTTTACCACACGCATAGCAGTGAATGTTTTTTTAGGAAGTTCTGTTGCCTCCTTTTTGAAACGATGACAGGAAATGTTGAACCGGTTTCCATTGTCGTCCAGGAGCAGGAGAAGCAGAGGAGCGTTGATAAGAGGAAAGAGGAAGTAGAGAAGAGGGGTTCAGAGAGGAAGAAGGAGGAGGTGGATGAGGTGCAGAAACTTCACGTGAAGCTGAAACAGGTGCAGCATCGTTGGGACAAAGAGTGTCTGGCCAGAGAGAAACAACAGGTAGGCCTCGTGCTGACGCGCTCTCATTTGTCTCTCTTCTTTTGCCTTTTCTGCCTCTTTCCGTAGTTTGGCATTACACAAATACAAAATGTTGCGGTTAGCATTGTGCACGCCCACATCTTTCAACTGTGCCAGTTTCTGATCTTATCGCATCCAAATGCAAGCTGGCGCAGGTAAAAAGTTGATATACTCCTCTTTCGATTAAGAAATCAAATTCTAGAAACAGTTAGACAGATTCTGATGCAGCTTCATCAGCGTAAAGAGTGAAGGATCTCACATAATAACAAGACCTATGACCTGAATGAATGAATTCACCTCCCTGATCAGATGTGTTTAGATATCATCAGTTTGTGACGTGCAGTGCTGCTCAGATGTTATTTCCGTTATGAAATGTTGTAACTTCCTTTTCCCTTTAACCACAGCTGGGAGGGTTTTCTGCCTGTACTTCTGGCTTACTGGCTACTTTTCTAAACATCTGCAGCACATCAACTTAAATATCTTACATAAAATGCAACATGCGGCAGCGATGCATTCTTGTCTGTCGGTGTTACGGTTGGCGAGTAAATTGGAGTCTAAAGACGGTATGAAAGGGTGCGTTTAATAAAGAACCTCAAACACACTCATTGTAGATGTACTGTGTCACAACATCACGATGCCACACAGCATCAACACACCCCACGACAATCACAATTTACTTACTTTTTGATTATATGTGGAAGACATGAAAATGTGATGTTTTAGATCGCTGCGACATTATCTGCGATCATGCTCAATTTATTGTGTTATTAGTAAGAAAGTATCAAACTAAATTTGTATAGCACTTTTTTTTAATGTGAAATGTTTTTCATTACCCCGTGTGTTTCCCAGTGCGAGCAGGAGAGCGAGCTGGAGCAGCGGGAGCAGCAGTGCCTCCTGGAGGCTGAGCAGCTGCGCTGCGAGCGCGAGGAGCTGGAGGCTCAGCTGCTGGAGTACCAGCAAAACCTGGACCGACTGAGGGAGGGCCAGAGGAGTGTGGAGAGGGAGAAGGAGAAGATCGGAGCCCAGCAGATGCTGCTGCAGCGCTGGAGGCACCACCGCCAGAGCAGCCTGCCCGTGACGATACCGCTGGATGGATACAAGGTAACGGAAGGGAAAGGAGAGACAACGGTACAGGAATGAATGAAAGCAACAAAAAAAAGTAAATAATAATTGGTATTGTTTCGACGTCCCAGGTGTCCAGCCACAGCCGCTCAGGCAGCCTGGATGGTAACTGTTCGGTGTACGAGAACGAGGCTGCCCTGATTGCCTCCCTCCAGCAGAACCACCTCCGCCGGCCCGCCAACAACAACCAGCACCAGCACCTGCGTCTGCTCTCCGCCCCGCCGACGAAGAACCGCGACAGCCCGCTGCACAGCTCCAGCTACGCCGCTAACCTCGGCCTCAGCACCAGCCTCGGCCTCAGCGCCAGCCTCTACAACAGCCTCAACACCCTGCTGAGCCAGGCGCACGGCAAGCAGCCTCCGGATGGTCAGAAGTACCCAAACCACGGCAACAACCACGGCGGCCCCCGGCCGCAGAACAACACCACCCAGCCCTTCAGCAGCAGGGTCACCGCACAGCCGCACGGGACCAACAGCAGTAAGTGTGCTCATGCCCCCCTCCCCCTCTAAATACAGTGTGCTGCACAGTTAGTGACAGTTAGTTTCAGCTCGGCTCAAAAAATGTTTCTCCCTCTAAAACACGTTGTTGTCCCTCTCAGCAGACTTCAGCCCGCCGTTGGACAGGCACTCTCCGGGTCCCTGGAGGTCAGAGGTCACCGGTCACAGACTCTATGAGGACGACTACTCCACGTCTCCCTCTCTCACCCCCCTCCTTCCCCCGCAGGCCTACCTCTCCCTCGAAGGACAGAACGGGGAGGAGGGAGGCGAGGAGAACATTGTTTATCTCTGAGAGCCTCCTGAGCGGTTGATCTGTTGCTCGTGTGCGTTTGTTACTCAAATAAGGGAAGAGGGAGGAAGTATACACGGATACAAGTGTGCCTTTATCAGCGTATGTGGCGGCCATTAATCGTTCTCTTCCTGCCTCCTGAAACCGTTGTGCCTTTTTGCGAACCGAGTCTTTGTAAATCAGCTTTGACACGCATGTCTTTTTTACTCCTACTCTGATTCTTTTTAGTATCCTTTGCACTTGTTTGACGGCAGAGGCACATTCGTACCCCGAACACTGCGACCTAAAGCACCAGGATTATCAGGACAGAAGTATTTAAAAGCACTTAAAAGAAAATGGAGATATTTGAGAAGCCAATTGAGCCCTTCCCCTAAATGTATAGAGTGCGGTTATCTCTCCATGTGATCTTAAATGATATTTATAAGGGATTGTGAGCATCTAAAATACATTAAATGTATACTGAAGTTATTGTATGAATATTAAATATATGTATAGTTTTATGGAAAGGCTACCTATGCACACTGTGTTGGAAGAGGAATTTATATTCCGATGATTATTATTATCATTATTATTATTTCATTCACTTAAGTGCCAAAAATCTTGCTATCCGATACTGTAAGTGATTTGTGTTTTCCGCTCATCTTCTTTTCTGATAATTTATTGTGTGTAAATTGCTTCACGTACTGTCGACATTGATCATATTTTTGTTGTAATCCTTGTAATCAGATTTGTGCCATATTAATATTGTGCTGTCTATAAAAAAAATGATCGTATCAAACATCTTTGTTTTTCTGTGTATTTTGCTCCACCTTCAAAGCAACATCAGTTTGACATTTACGCACGTCTCGTTGCGCAACACTCTTAGTAGTTGCAGGCAGGCTTCCTTTAACCATCGACTCGTGGGACTTTCAGTTGGTGCGTGTGTGCAGCGAGTGTCACTCTGTGTCTGCTTTTTTTATGCATGAAGAGGATGCCAAGTTCCAGAACACACTTCATTAACCTGCTTTGGTTGCAACTAATCTTTTCTATGGATCTCAGGGGAGGCTGCTTGGACACGGGTGAGTTTTGTTCAGCATCTCCAAATTATACAACTCCTCCAAATGTGTCCTGTAACTTTACGTGTGTGTGTGTGTGCCAGTTTTGCAGCCCCTGAGCCCGAGCATTAGTCATCCGCGGGTCAACAGCGACGGGCGAAGCCTCTCTGTGAGCTGGCGGGTGAACCACAGCAGCTTAGTGGGCGACGTTTACGAGATCCAGATCGGCCGCGCTGAAAGCCACGCCGTCATTTACACCGTGAGTAGCCTGCTGAGGGATTTGTCGTCTGGGTTTTGGGCTGTTTAAAGGCTCTGCACAGTTGCAAGTTGTATGGCATTATCCTACTTTTTAACAGCATTCACTGTACAATTCTTGCTTCTTTTTTTTGTTTTGTTATTCCAGAGCAATCTGAGTTTATCGTCCGTGGATTCCGATGAATACGCATGGACGTGGACCTCCGATGTGCCTCTGGAGTGTGTGGATCACTCGGTCAGGGTGCGACAGTTCTATAACCGGTCCGTCCCGAGTCCCTGGAGCGACTGGGTGACCAACTATGGTGAGACGACGCTACCCTCGGTGTTTAGTAGAACTAAACCCAAACGCATATTGTGTCGAGCTGTTTCACTGATAAGATCTTGACAGTGATCGGGAGTGAGGCCCCCCATCCTTTTTTTTTTTTTTTAAACTTCCCTTCCATTGATCTTATCCTTTATCAGTGTCTCTCAACTGCTGCATGTCTGTTGCAATGCACATTCTACTTCTTTTCTATTGGGGGGTGATTAGAGTTCAGTGGCCCCCAGAACGTGCCAAAGGGTTATAGATGCAGCCCCCCCCCCCCCCCCGGCCAGATCCTCATGACCCTGCTCTGTGACCTGTAGGAGCCCAGGCACGTCAGGATAAGACCCAGATCTTCCCGTCCCAGCGGGTGCTGAGGGAGCACACCAGTGCCGTGTTCTGCTGCGTTCCCCCAAGAGGAGTCGGTGTTACCGGCATGGCCTTCAATAACAGAGGATACCCTCTTTACAGCGTAGGGGCCACTGGAGTCAAGGCCATAACTGTGCATAACCTGACCATCCCAACAACATCCATCAAGGAGCTTTTACTCTCCTGCAGCGACGCAAGAGGCAAGATCAATCACACCCGGAACTACATAAGTTGTGAGTTTGTATTATTCATATTTATATTTACATTCTTGACTTTTCTTTTTAAATATCATTTTTCCAAAGAACTATTACATATACAGTTGTGTGAAAAAGTGTTACACTGTTCCATGTTTTTTGCCATTTGTGGATAATGGCTCTCACTGTG